CTATATGTATATATATATATGTATATACATATATATATATATATATATATATATATATTTTTTTTTCTTTGAATACATCGAATTTTCAGGTCTCCCATTTGATTTCCAAAGAAGAAATGGTTCACCGACATTTAGAAGATGGCTCAGGATCGAGCACTACTGTGCGCTAATTGATTTTTTGTTTTGCTTTCTTATCTCTACCACCTTTTTGTCTTATACATGATTCCATATAAAGCAAAATTAAGACGATTGTAAGTAAAAAGGACAAAATTTGAGGTGTATTGTTTTATTGTTGATGAATCATCCATCGCGGTAAATTTTCCTCTTGAGTTGAAAATCGGGAAGTTGCACTTTTTTATTTCTTATAATTATTTGTAACGTACACTTCAATCAAATTATCATTATTCGGAAAAATTAGCTGGAGATTTCATCCGACAGTTTACATATCTGCGGGAACGGAACTAGAAAAAATACCTCATAAAATTGTTATAGTGAATCGTATTTTGGCATATCACGGGGTATTTCTTCAAGTGTGTTATCACGTATCACTGATCCATTTTTACAAGCAGATGGTTCTTTCCCACTCTTTGACGTACTTTTTTGAGTAAATTCCGCAATGAACGACTTCGCTAATTGCTGATTTATCTAGATAACAATTTATAAGAACTGTAATTTTCTTTTTTTCTCCCCCCCACTTCCTTCAATCTATTTTGCTATTTACGTTATGACTATGTACTTTACCAGGCATATGATCATTTTTTTTATCTTAAAATTTACCACCATCGTGATAATTATCTGCGCTCATTACGATTTGTTACAAATGTGTGATATAAAAACATATTTGATCAATTATTTGGACTAAGTGCGCAACAAGCTAGTCTTTGTGGAGTCCATTAAATTGACAAATGATAGGGCTCAGAAAACTTCCGTTTTGTGCAATAGGAAGCTATTTTTTGTCCTTACTTCGTTTTGCTTTGGATTTTTATTATCGATGAGATCCATTTTCTTAAGATTTTTATTATCGTTGAGGTCCACTTCCCTAAAATGATGTTCAGAAAAATTTAATAAAACACTGTTATATCGAAGTGTTTCATTTTCAAACAGAAAGAAAAAAAGAAATTCAAAATTAAATTTACTTGAATTTCGGTTTATCAGCATCGCATTCTTCGCTAAGCTTAGTGTTTTGCGTTCCACTAACTGCTAATTGTATGGTGGGTTTTTCATTCTTTTCTCCGTTGTTATCACGAACATCCTGCATAGATTAATTGATCTCTTTATTGTTTTATGGAATTTTATATAAGTGAATTGAAGGGAGCATTTTATTTTTTAATTAATATCCAGATTAATTGCAGGTGTCACATTAATCTTTGTTCTATTAAGATTTCGTTTATTTCTTCATAAGAATTAAATACATATATATATATATATATATATATATATATATATATATAT